CTCTCTGCCCTTCTCCCTCACTTTCACGCTCTCGAAAAACTTTGAGAAACAAACAAAACCCCCTAGATTTTTGAATTTTCTCAAATACCTAGAGAGGATCCAGGCTAACACCTAGACTAATTAAAAACAAAACAGGTTAAGAATTCTTTACGACAAAGAATGAAGGGACAATGGATTTAAAAACATTTAAAAGTTATTTCTTCCTCAGTGACTTGACGCCCAAAGAACCTCAGCACTGGTCCTACAGAACGTGAACACCAACTCAAGAATCTCAGGGAGTGCTCCTGTACTCACTCTCAATTTTCAAGCTCGTAGTAACTCAACTCTATCATTTCAAGATGTGTATTTAATCCAGTGCTTTATAATGTACATTTTCCTTACCCTTACTTCATAAAACTATCTTTTTCAGGGTAAAGATCACTCACATTTCAACTTTCCCGATACTGCTTTATGTTTATTTTGAGAGAGACAGAGACAATGTGAGCAGGAGAGGAGTAGAGACAGAGAGGGAGAGAAGGAGAATCCCAAGCAGGCTCTATATGGTGAGTGCAGAGCCCCACATGGGGCTTGAACTCACGAAACAGTTAGATCATGACCTGCACCAAAACCGAGTCAGACGCTTAACTGACTGAGCCACCTGGGTGCCCCGATACTGTTCTGCTTTTTAATCTTTGACAATTTTTGTTGCACTCATCTTTTCCACATCTATCTGCTTAGTTTAATATGGGCAGGAAGTGACCATTTTAGTTATCACAAATTGGGTATGCTTGATTATTTTAAAATATATTTTGTAATACGGTTAAACAATACATCTGTATTATTTACAAGCGCATGACCGCTACTTGACTTGGATAAAGAGAATTCTTCACACACCTGAAACTAACATCACATGGCAACTGTACTTCAACTAAAAAAAGTAATGATTTTTAAAAAGTTACTAATGCTTCAACTGGAAGCATGAAAAGAAACCAAATTATTAAATTCTTCAAGCTTTTTTGACACATGAAGATTTTGAACTTGAAATGTACAAAGGGTAAAAAATTAATGCGAACTACTTTTTGCACCTCATCCTAAGACTGATCTGTTAACAGTGGTGAGTAAAATACATGCTAATATGATTCAAATGTGTTCTTCTCTATAAAACCGTCCAAAGGAATTCAGAGTCTCCTGACATTTATTCACCAGAAATAAACCATACTCCAGCCACCATGTACTTACTTATTGAAGCAATCATGACTTTGAGTCTTTCCCTAGTTTTGACTTCGGCCAGCCATAGAAATCTTGGAGAAGGTACACCTACACTCTGACTTATTTTACATACCAAGTGATCAACAAGTATTTAATAAGCATCCTTTACGAGCAAAGTTCTGGGAAGAAAACAAAAATGAGAAATGGGTGTTCATAAAAAGGTGATAGATGGAAGAATCCTTAAGCTGCCTTCCCTTTTAAGACTTAGGCATGACGTTTTAGTAAGCCTCCTGTACGAATGAACATGCTAGCATCATTAAGGAAAATGACGGCCGTGGCAGCAAAATCCACTTAAAAGACATTTTTAATGAATTTTATCAAAGAAAAATACCAAAATGTTTGACAAGTATCAAGATACGAAAAAAAAAAAAAAAGGCATTTGTTTGACCATGGATTACAGCTGTGAAATGTGAAGCATGTGAAATGTAAGTATTCAGAGAAGAGCCACATTAAGAGGCTTATCAGACCATGAATTTGGTTATACTGCAAAGGTCTCACTCTCTCTCAGCCCTTCGTTAATACAGAGAAAACGTAGAAGGTGCTCTCCAATATAGAATTAGAACATGATTTAAATTACTTTAATTACTAATCTACACAAATGACCTTAGATTAAAAGCACAGGCAAAACAGAAACCGCAGTAACATCCACATGTAGTGTGAAGGTTTTAAAAAATACAGAGTTCATTCACAGTGAACAAAACAAGGTTATGTTTTAAATGTTTGAACACATAGCCACGATCATCCAAAAGTGAGTATATCTGCAAGCACATCTCTATATTGCTAAAGAACCTAAAACTACAGCCAACAAGAGATAAAAAGCACAGAGATAAAAAGCATCATTCTGATCCCTCTTACTGGAAAACTAAAATGTTGTCCTTCTTTTTGCAAATAGATACATCTAAAATAAATATAAGATTATAAACTAGCTAAGGAATTTGTCTTTTAAGCCTACGCTCGCTCTTCATCACATGTAAAACTCCCAAATTATAAGGTTAGGAAGCACCGCTCTCTGCAATGTTCCCTCCTCATTTTTACGCTATTCATTTGTACTTGGGGCTACATTATTTGCGGGAAGGAGTCCATTGGAGTAAAGCCTGAAAAGGGAGAATAATGCAAAGAGGAGAGAATGTAATTAAGCTACTAAGAAAGGCTGATTGCTCCACCTGTGGCCATAGCGCAGCTGATTCAACTTGAAGCAGCGAGGACCACTTGTTTCCCACTGTGCACTGCCTATGAGTACGGATTCTTAAAACTGATACCCTGACTAAATTTTAGATCTAATTTATTTACAGTTGCTCAGTCTCCCATACAGAGCTTTGTTCATGCTACTCTTTGCAAATTCTGACCTGAAAAACAAAGGATTCCTGGTCTAGTTAGAATTTAACTCCTATACATTGAATTTCTGAAGCGATCTGTTTAAATTTGAATCATTTGTAATTTTTGAACTACAGACACAACACACAGGGTTTACTGTTGAGAATCCGAATTTTATTTTTTCTTTTAATAACATCTGCATCAACCTAGCTTTCAAGAAAAAAAAAAAAAAAGGCATGCTTAGAATGAGATAGGCTAAAAAGGAAAAAAAAAAAAAGTATGTAGTCCACGAAAGAAAGAAGTCATGTAACATCTACATGTACTGTGGGGGATGTGGGAGGTCTGGACTCTTATTTGGGGTTTTTAATCATCTATTTATATGTTTAAATTACAGATACTGATCTCAGAGAAATGAAGATTCTCCATCCCCGTTTCTTAAATTTATACAAAGGGATGTGATAAAAGGTCTCACTGAACATCGGCCTTTAGCTTAGAAAAAATCTACACATTATAGCTGAGGGCATTTTTTCCCCATCCATAGCACATACAAATAAACACGGTCCTATTTCTTTGGAAATAGATTTGTAGTTGTAAAGTGGTTATGATTTACAACTACAAAAAAAATAATTACATGGTGTCTGCTTCAATGAGGGGTTACCAGCAAGCAGCACTGGTTAGAGAGAGTTTACCAGTGAGGTCACCTCTACATTCAGCACAGAACACCCGGGGCAGGGGGCACGGGAGGGTACTCCCTTGCTGTTCCCCTACTAGCCCTAGAGCTGAAAGACACATGAAATGTTCTAGACTCCTCATCCACCAAATAACAATATACACTGCTACCAGCTGATTAAACCTGGATCTACATATCTTATCAAACAGTATAAAACAAATATATACTGAACTCTTGATTTCTGAAATATTTTGCGCTACCCTTCCAACCTTATGTATTAAGTGTCATCAGATCTCAAGAGAAATCACAATGCTATGGATACTAAATCAAAAAAAAAAAAAAAAAAGGTAGGGTAGCAAGGGAACTGTTACCAAAACAGAATTCAAAAAAAAACAACCAACCTCCAAAAAACTGTAAAAAACTGTCACACAATGGGCATTTTTATTAGAATACTAAAGGCTTAACAAAATGGAAGCAAAGAGCAGAGATAAATGAGAAAGACATTTGAAGTCAAAAATGGTATACTTCTTTGCTTTAAAGTCCTTTAGCCAATAAAAAAGTATTTATGACACACACAAAAATGCTGTGAAGGTATTGTAACTGAACTGCAATGAATCCAATTTTATGTTTCTCTTTAAAAGTTCAGCTAATGGGGCGCCTGGGTGGCGCAGTCGGTTAAGCGTCCGACTTCAGCCAGGTCACGATCTCGCGGTCCGTGAGTTCGAGCCCCGCATCGGGCTCTGGGCTGATGGCTCAGAGCCTGGAGCCTGTTTCTGATTCTGTGTCTCCCTCTCTCTCTGCCCCTCCCCCGTTCATGCTCTGTCTCTCTCTGTCCCAAAAATAAATAAAAAACGTTGAAAAAAAAAAAATTTTAAAAAGTTCAGCTAAGAGGGAGATGGTTAACATGCTGTTGAAATAATGCACTCTTATGAAAGAGCCTTTTCCTGCTGCCTCCCTGAACTGCTTGACAGTCTAATAAAACTAGTCAACTGATTATTCTTTATCTTCCCTATCCTGTGTCTCAATCCAACAGCTCTGTCAACAGGTAACCCCCACCCCCCCACAAAGTTAACCGAAAACCTTGCTCACCTATACCACATCCAAAATGAATGAACTTCAAATGGAGACAGAAAGTACAAAAACATCCATTGAAGCAAACAGGTAAGCTGCTGCTGAGTTAGCTTCCCAGGCAGCTCTCTAAGCTGTCAGGGAAGGCTGAGCTCTCTTCCACTGAATGCACACGGAATTGTTGCAATCCAAATTAACCTATTTGAAGGGTTCTTCTGTTTACGTTCTCTTTCACATGATAAATGTGGACTGAATTTTCATAATCAGATAGTTTCTGGATGAAGAACATTTACAGATACAGACAACAAGTTAGCGGGTTACCATCACTTTATATACAATCGATAGCTTTTCACAACACCTGGCATTTTTTCCCCAGAGAAGAAACGGACTCTGAGCAGCACCGGCTAATGAATTAGGTGAACGAGTGCCACCACAAATAGTGCCACCACAAATGACACAAGCAGGACAGCAAGTTTCTTATCGTCAAGGGCTCAACCTAACGGCCACACCACTTGTATTATCTCAATGTGTCACTTCAATACAATAAGATAGGATTTTAATGCCATTTCCACTCTTTGTGCATTCAAAAGGCAACTGATGGTCAAAGTGCCTCTGATTCGCATTAAGTAGTTTTACCCCATGACTTTATTTCATGTTTAGAAAGGTGGAATAGCAGAAGGAAAAAAGGCAGGACAAAAGACTTTGGAGTTTTCTTTCTTCACATGTATGCGGAGGTGATTATATTATGAGTAGGATTCTGTAAAAATAAACACATTTGATAAATTAAGGTATGGGGAGACAAATGCATAATTTCTAAATAAACTTTTATTACTGCATGATCATAAAAAAATACTGAAGCTTAATTGCCTGTTCGCTAGTTTCATGAAATTTAAAATATCACCTACTATAACAATGTGACAATTTTATTAAACGTGTGTGAATTAAAAAATACTGTCATTAGTTTTTTACAGAAAAAATTTAAAAACATATTAAAATTGGTAGAAGGAATCTGTGTTTGGCTGTGCTGGGTATAAATATCTTCAGCAATTATCAGAATGAATTACTTAAAATTATCAGGTTGAAGAACTCAACACATGTTAAAACTATCATTAAGAAACTATTCCTCAGGGGCCCCTGGGTGGCTCAGTCCAACTCTTGGTTTTGACTCAGGTCACAATCTCAGAGTTAGTGAGTTTGAGCCCTGCATTGGGCTCTGTGCTGACACTGTAGAGCCTGCTTGGGATTCTCTCTTTCCCTCTCTCTCTGCCCTTCCCTTGCTCTCGCTCTCTATCAAAATAAATAAATGAACTTAAAACACACACACACACACACACAAAAACTATTCTTTAAAGTGACTGGTAACTTTATAAAATGGTCAGAATGAAGCAAGGCTACAATTTTGCCACATTTATTCTTTTAAATGGATTTTCAGGGTACAAAATAGTTGATCTTTCCAATATTCAAATAGTTCACAGGGTTATAAAACCCAAGGGCTAGGAAGGGCTGTAGAGACTAAAGACAAGTAAAGAACAAAGAAAACTGGGATGGTTTCCTCATAGACACAGATTATTGCAACTTAGCTCTTACGACTACCCTGGCCTCCACTTGAGACAGACTCTCTGGCAGGAAAAGGCACGTTCCCAATAGCAACAGTAACACTAGATGTCACACTAACCAGTTCAGGGTACTGACACTATTATGTAAAACACTGGCTGCCTTTAGGCTTCTTCATTTCATTAAAGAGAGAAATGAAGCTTATATTTTTAATGGGGTTTCTGTGATTTTCATGAATCTTCTTCCCCCCCCAAACCACCTTTACAAACAAATATCAAGTGAACTTTGGTGCTGAAGAGGAGAATCTCCAAATCAAGAAGGCTCTCAAAATGTTTATTTCTAACATGAATTACTGATAGTAATTATGACAAGGAGGAAGGTATCATAACAACTTTATGGTTTTAAAAGGAAATTTTCATACACTGAAGTTGTATAAAACATTTATGAACACAGATACTTGAAAACAATGAATTCTTTTTGGACTGTGTCAAAGATGGTTGATATTTACTCTCTGGATACATTTTTGTGTACATCCATGTATACATCTGTCTTAACTTAGGGGAGAGAGACAAAACCAAGTAATAAAACATTACTGGAAAGCTTTCTAACTTCTTCCTCTCTCACTTATTGCTGGTATGCTGTTCTGAGGGATAGTGGTCTGAGCTGCACTTCCTTTTCTGGCTTGCTTTCTCAAATGTACTGTGCCTCCATTAGAGGAAAACACGTAGTTTGGTCACAGGGCCTTTTCTGAAATGAATGCAGCTAGGGAGGGAATGTTTTACTTTAATACTCCTTCCAGTTCTGACTGTGTTGCAGGCTGCCTACAGGGAAAGGCTCACAGATAAAGTGACTAATTAAATATCTTAAAGAAATGATAATGTCTTAATTAGAGCACCTTCCCTTTCTCAACTTCTTCAATAAAAGCAAAAGACTTACTAATTATAATTCTTCAGCAGTAATTAGCAGTTTACTATGCTACTACGGGAAATCTGTATTTAATGATACAATACTTTATTTGGAACATGCTTACAATGCCAGACTACAGAATTAGATAAGAGTCCACACATTCAGAAGAGTACTCCATTCTAAGGCTATCTGAGTTACTTTAAACAGGAGAAATGGTTTTAAACATAAGAGAATAAAATCAAGAACAATTATTATTAGTCAAGCCAAATAAAATGTTTTGCAAGTTAACATACACATCATTGTCCACTGAATATGAACAATGAGAAATAAAATAATGAAGGCTACAGTTTGATTATTTACATGCACAAAACTTATGAGCCACATGCATATTATGAAATATCTTAGCTTTGTTTACTTTTCCTCTGTTCAAAATGAGTTCTAGAGGATATTTTTAGTTCACCCAGAAGGCAATCAAGTATTCAAGAGGAACATTGTACATATGAAATTTAGAATTAATTTCAGAGATTCCTGCCTTTAAAATTATTTAATTACATTAAAATTATTATTCAGGAACAAGCAGGATATAGTCATGTACAATGACAAACTATAATAAGTTAAAAAGTATATATTTTGCATTTAGTCAGTATGAATGCAGTAAGAAGGCTCTTACTAACTTATTACCATTTATTTCTCCTGATGAAGAGCTTCAATAAAAGCATCAAGTTTTTCTTGAATTTCTCTAACTTTCTCTGTGGAGATAAAAAGATTATTAGATTAATTAAAAGTGAATTTATTTTCAAAGGCATCACAAATCTTTGAAGAGAATTATTCAATAAACTGTCTGGGATACTTAAACTATTTTGGAAAAGGGACAAAAATTACCTTAGCATCACGTATCACCTTAGATCCAAAAAATGTTCAAATGGATTGTTATAGTAGCTCTTAACAATTTTTTGGAAAGGGGAGGAATATGGGCTTTGTGACTGACCCCGCTGAGAATGTAATAAGAATTACGGAATGTTACAGAGAAAAATGTACGTATAGACACATATATCATTGCATGTAGAATTTTAAGGAATTCTCAGATTCTCTGGAGTCCAACCAAAGACTCGGTTAGCAATATCTGCAACAGAGGAGAATATAAAATAATGAAACAATTGTTTAAAAAATGTTTATATCTTTTGAGAGAGAGAGAGAGAGAGAGAGAGAGAGAGAGAGCGAGCACAAGTTGGAGGCAGGGCAGAGACAGAAGGAGACAGAAAATCCCAAGCAGGCTTCACACTGTGTGGAGCCTGACGTGGGGCTCGATTTCATGACCATGAGATCATGACCTGAATCGAAATCAAGAGTTGGATGCTTAACTGAGCCACCCAGGTGTCCCAATGAAACCATTTTTAAGAATTAAAAAAGAATACAGGAGTGTATTTAACAGGCCTTAGACTGGAAAAAGACTTTCTAGGATAAATGGAGAAAGCTACAAAGGAAAAGATTACTAGTATGATCACATTAAAATGTACACTTTATATGTCAAAATGTCCTAAATTTAAAAGACAAAAGAAATTGTAGAAAATATCTGCAACAAGTATTAAAAGGGCAATAACACTTTAAAAATACATACAAATGTACTTTCCTAGCTATAAATGTATAAAGTTTAAAAACACCACAGTCAGGGGCACCTCGGTGACTCAGATGGTTAAGCTTCTGACTGTGGTTCAGGTCATGATATCACCACCGCTCATTAAGTTCAAGCCCCGCGTCGGGCTCTGTGCTGACAGCTCGGAGCCTGGAGCCTGCTTCGGATTCTGTGTCTCCTTCTCTCTCCGCCCCTTCCCCGCTTGTGCTCTCTCTCTCAAAAATAAACAGACATTAAAAAATGTATTAAACAACAACAACAAAAACCTCAAAGTCACTGAAGACAGATTTACATTATTTTATTTGATTTTATGTTTTCATGTTTGCAGACTTCCAAATAAAATCTATAACTTCTCTCTGAAATATAAAGATTTCTTTCACAAATACAAACTATTCACACACAGGACATGTCAATCTCCCAATATGCAAAAAATGTAAGTCATGATTTATTCTACTTCATTGCTTACTTAATCACGCAACTCCCATTTTAAAATATAGTTTGTGGTGGGGTACCTGGGTGGCTCAGTCGGTTGAGCATCTGACTTCGGCTCAGGTCATGATCTCACAATTTTTGAGTTTGAGCCCCGCGTTAGGCTCTGTGCTGACAGCTCAGTGCCTGGAGCCTGTTTCAGATTCTGTGTCTCCCTCTCTGTCCCTCCCCTGCTTGTGCTCTCTCTCTCTCTCTCAAAAATAAACATATATATATATATATATATTTGTCCTTTTAACACAATTTTATATATTAGTGGGAATTACCAATTAAAGTGAAGTGACTGGTTCAAAGCTATTGATCTAGAGGCAAAACTGTAAAGCATTCTGCTTTATATCTATAGAAAAATCATATAAAGTACATTAATATTCAACATTTTATCTTTTATATTTAAAAATAATCTGCAATTGAAGACATAAAGTATTCCTTTCTATCAGTGGGGCAGCAGTTTTGATGAGCAGCCAATAAAAGGAAGAATTGTCCTTTTTATGAATTCTCATGAGCATTGCAGGAACTCGACAAAGTCTATCCAGCTGCATATAAAGAACATAATGTCTTCATCTTCATTTCCCAGCAATTTAACACTACTACTTCTTGGTATTAATCTGACACTAACACCAAATCTATATATAAAAAAAAAAAGCCATACTGTTTTAATTCAACTATTTACTGAGCAAACATGATAACAGTTATCGCAGAGACAACAATAATTCCTTTTACGTAAAAGTAAACTAGAGAAACCCAACCTATAATCCCAACCTATCTCTTGGAAGTTTAATCTGTATTTTTTGGCAGTCTGTACTATTTTTTAAGTCAACAAACCGGTAAACATACTTCCTTTCTCAAAATAAGGCCACATTCTTATTTTTTTGTTTTTTAATTTTTTTTTTTAACGTTTATTTATTTTTGGGACAGAGAGAGACAGAGCATGAACGGGGGAGGGGCAGAGAGAGAGGGAGACACAGAATCGGAAACAGGCTCCAGGCTCTGAGCCATCAGCCCAGAGCCCGACGCGGGGCTCGAACTCCCGGACCGCGAGATCGTGACCTGGCTGAAGTCGGACGCTTAACCGACTGTGCCACCCAGGCGCCCCTCACATTCTTATTTTTAAAACTAATTCATCTTGTTGCTTAGAAAGAGCTTCACCTATTTTCTTCATGAGTATTTAGAGAGCTCTACATAGTGCAGTTCATCAACTGAAGAATTTTTTTAAAAAGGGGACAGTAGGAGAAAAAGCGTTTTCTAAATTGTCTGACAGAATTTTGGAAATGGACAAGGTATTTAAAAAATCATCTGACCTGGGTGGCTCAGTCGGTTAAGCATCCGACTTCGGCTCAGGTCACGATCTCACAGTTGTGGGTTTGCGCCTGAGTCGGGTTCTGTGCTTACAGCTCAGGGCGTGGAGCCTGCTTCAGATTCTGTGTCTCCCTTTCTCTCTGCCTCTCCCCCACTCATGCTCATGCTGTCTCTCTCTCTCTCTCTCTCTCTCTCTCTCTCTCAAAAATAAACAAGCATTAAAAAAAAAATTTAAAAAAAACATCTGGCTTAAATAGCACAACATATGGAAATCTAAAACAGGTACTTAAAGCCATGGCAGTTCCTCTAACCATCTCACTGAGCTATACTACTTGGGAAAGGTGTACTGCATGAGAAGAATTCTGACTGTTTGCTCCACGACCTGAGTCCAAGCACGGCCAGCTCTGTCCATCCTTCTGCCCTGTCCATGACCTCCATCCTCAGCTGCACAATCTGGGACTGGGTGGCTCAGTAGCATCACTCAGAAGAGAGAGTTCAGAGCAAGATCTACTTGTATTGACAGACCAAGAGCCACTCTGATGCAGGTGTCTAACTGTGGAGTCTGAATCAAATTCAAATTCTTATAAAATTAGAGATAAGCGATATGTTTTTTTCTAAATAAAAGTTAAAAGACTGTCTGATTAATAAGAAGACTAGTCACAGAATAAAATTGCCAAATTTTCCTTTTAAAAAGCTGTTTTTACAAAATATTTTCAACTAGAATATCAGGGCACCGTGCCAACATACTCTGAAATGTCAAAAATGACACAAAGGGCATTTAAGTAAGTTACTAGGAGGTAACGGGGGGAGAGGAGAAGAGAGGAGACAGTGGAGGTGAATGTGAAAAGAAAAAAGAAGGGGCACCTAGGTGGCTCACTCGGTTGAGCGTCTGACTCTAACTGTCGTTCGTGACCTGATCTCAAGCTTGTGAGACAGAGCCCTGCGTCAGGCTCTGTGCTGGGTGTGAAGCTTGTTTAAGACTCTCTCTGTCCTTCTCCCTTTGCCCCTCCCCTGCTCCCATGCTTGCTCGCTCTGTCTCTCAAAGAAACAAAACAAAAAAACAAAAAACAAAAAAAAGAAAAGAAAAAAGAATAACTGTGATAAATGTACTCTTTTTACACTAAATTTAAAAATCCATTTCTTTGTTCCTTCATTTTATACAATGTACTTAATGCAGTGATATGGGGACACAGATGCTATCTTGCCTTTGAGAAGAATTCCTTGATCACTTCCTACCTACCTCATGCTGAGTCTATGAAGTATCTACTATGTTTGAGGTGATTTTAAATCCCACATTTCATTTGGTCCTCATACAGCCCTGAAGGTGTCCCTGCAGAAGACAAGGACCTGAAGCCTGCAGAGTTAGCTTTGTGCACGTTTCTCTGATTTGGAAACATACTAGATCCGCTACCAGATACAGACTCTAAATGGTAACAAAACAAATGCTATTATTTGAAGCGTATTTGTTGTGAGCTTTACCTTTTACCTGAGATAAGACATACTGTGGTAAAAATGAGGGAATGGAATAGTTACCAAGCACCTTCCTAAGTAGTTCTGTGCCTAGAAATAACTAAGAAAAGTATAATAAATATTATTACCTACATATATTTGAAAAAACCCTTGGAAAACAATACAAACGTATGAAACTGGACCAAAAAAGTTCAGCATCTTCAATGTCTACAACAATGTCTGACTCACTACACATGCTCAACAAATACCTGATAAACGATAAATGAAATTCCCAAAAATATGGTACAGAAAACAAAGGCTGCAGGTTATCAAGAAAAAAAAAATCACTCAACAGACTTCCTGGGTGTTATACCAGTGACCAAGAGGGCAGAAGCCAGGAGCACAAGGTGTAGAGCCAGCCTGGGAACAGAAGGCAGGGTACATACACATTGACAATGAAGATCCAGGAAAGCTGGTGGGTCACTCGAACCACACAAGCAACACGGGACAGAGAATACTCAGGTCTCACAATACAGTAAGTGGAAAGAGAAATTTCAATTTAATTATTTCACCTTATTCAGAAGACCAAAATATGCTCACTGCATACACACACACACAGAGCTTTAGAAAGTATATTGCTTTCATTCTTTGCAAAGGAGCTATATTACAGATAATAAACAGCATTATTTCCCATATTTGAATTCCTTCATTTCAAAATCTGATAAAAGTCTTCAGCACTTCCTATATACTAACTATGCCATCCAGCTGCACACAGAAAACAAGACTTATTCATAAAAATCAAAGTTGAATGTCAGCAACTAAAACTTTCTACTTTCTGATCCTTCCAAACACTAATGTCCCAGTGTTAAAGTGTTTTCAAGT